TCATTCATTCGTTTGCTTGTTTGTTCGTTTGTTCGTTCATTCATCACACTCACTCACACACACTCACTCACACACACTCACACACACACACACACACTCTTAACATGCAAATCTTATGTTACTCACGATATTAACATGACATGTTATGAACGTGTTAGTGTCAAGAAACCAAAAATTTTAACTAAGTACATCCTTATTACACAAAATAAAAAAAAACATACATCAATACATACAAACGGATAATATTCACACATACACACATACAACAATCAATACATACAAACAAACATTCATACATACACACGTACATGCACAAACAAACAAACAACTAAAAACAAAAATTAACATACATACATGCATCTTAACAAAAAATCCATATCTAACAAATTGATATGTGCATTTGAACATAAACATTTGAACCAACTCATATAAGTAAATCGGAACCTAAAACCAGGGAAACACACAGTTACTTACAAATACAGAAATTTATACAAAACATGCAAAAATGTATACAAATCAATACAAAGATTTATACAAAACATAGTAAAACTTTTACAAAACATACAAATGTTTATACAAAACATACAAATATTTATACAAATCATACAAACGTTTATACAAGCAATACAAAGATTTATACAAAACATGGTAAAACTTTTACAAAACGTACAAACACTTATACAAAACGTACAAAAATTTATACAAAACATTCAATCCAAACATTGTTTCTAGACATACAACAGAATTTCGTTCGTTCCAGTAACAGAGCATAGTGATAAATGACATAGTTTAATCTGTCAAAATTAAAAAGAATGGTTTACTTCATTTGCATTGGCAATCTAGACTACTACTACCACTACCAACACTACTATACAACTACTACTACTATGGCTGCTGCTGCTGTGGCTACTACTATTACTGACTACAGCTGCTGCTGTGGCTACTACTATTAATTCTACTACTTTTTGTTACTAGTACTACTACTAAGCATGATTACCTATCATTTTACTATTACATGTGTAAATTATATTTCATATAATTATCTATGTATTTCTATTCTGTGCTTGTAAATTAGGTTTAATTTATTTTATTTATGTTCTTTATTCACTCATTTGGATTTTCTATTTTAGAATAATAAATCAGGTTATTCGAAAGCAAACTTATACATGTATATATTTATATATTGTTATATTCATTATTTTCGTTTACAATGACAACTATAATTAAAAATGTAAATTACTATTATCTATTTCTTTGAATGTTTTCTCTTCTACTACCACATACAAATTGTAGCAGTACTGCTTAGCAACTGCTTAGCCAGTGCTTTTTCTAGCTGGCAATAAAAGTCTTCCACGAATCTTTCAAAATAGTTTTATAATGCTCTACTCACTAGCACAGAAAAATTACTTGTAAACAGATGAGTTCAGTGAGTCATAGCCATATTTTTACCACCACCACCACCATCGTCGTCGTCGTCGTTATAATCGCCATCATCTTCATCCTCCTCATATCTTCATCATAATCATCATCTTCGTCATTATCGTTATATTATCATAATTGTTTCAGTTGTATCATCATCATCAACAACTTGTTGATACTCGTTGGATACGAAGATACACATGACCATAGATACTTATTGGATACCAAGGTAGACATGATCCTAGATACCCGTTAGATAGTTGTTAAAAATTACTACGATGATGATCATGAGTAGAAAGATAACGATGATGTGATGATGGTGACGGTGATAGTGATAATGAAAAACCGAAAGGTGGTTATTAAAAAAAAAATCAATTATTCTTATGTGTTGAAATTAACAATTTTATAACGGCTTTACGTTGGCTACGACAATCATGGAAAATATTACTAATGTAAAATGACATCAACAACAACATCAACAATAACATCAACAATAACATCGACGACAACAACAATGGCAACAGCAGCAACAGCAGCAACAACAACATCAGTCGGCGGAACAACGCTGAACAATTAATAAAATGAATGAAAGCAATCATTTCTCGCTCTACACCTATTCATCATTGATGCATCCAGATCAGCAACTTTGCCAACTTTATCTACTTCTTCATCTTCTTCTTCTTCATCACCTTCTTCATCTGTATAATCTTAATCATCTGCATCATCGTTATCCTCATCACCATATCCACACATCTAAATACGTTCACAGACGCGCGCGAACATATACATTACACAAACATTCACCTGACACACACACACATACGCACAAATACAAACATAAAACACAGATACACTCTCTCACGCATACACACACACGTATAGACACACACACACACTCACACACACACGCACACACACACACACGCATAATTACGGCATCTTGTCGGCACTTAAACTTGAAATAACAATAAAGTCAGTTAAACGAGTACGTTCTGCTGTTGCAGATGCAGAAATACCCAAGCAAATACAAATACATTATTGCAATAACGCGATATATACCTTGGCAAACATTGAAGCCCAGATTTACATTTGCCTTTGTATATGTATGCACGTATGTGTGTGTGTGTGTGTGTGTGTGTGTGTGTGTGTGTGTGTGTGTGTGTGTGTGTGTGTGGCATTTCAACATATGTGGAAATATATATATATATATATATATATATATATATATATATATATATATATAGGGTAATGTATTAGTGTGTACTACATGCATGAATGCTATTTCCTAAATGTAAAAATATGTGCACCTATACATGGTTTACGTGTGAGCAGTGTCGTACACACACACACACACTCACTCACACACACACACACAAACACACACAAACACACACACCTATGAGGTGATTGCGGTTGAACAGATGCGTTATTTATAAATGAAAAAAATATACTACAAAGTATTTTAGTTTGTTTGTAGTTGTAGTAAGTTTCATGCTGCTGTTTTTACTACTAAGAACTAAGACTATTTGTACTACGGAAACAATAGTAGCAGCAGTGACAGTAGTATCAGTAGTAGTATCAATACTAGTAGCTAAAGTAGCGGTAGAAATAGTGGTAGTGGTAAAATTGGTGGTGTAGTAGTAACAGTAGCTGTAGTAGAAGTAGAAGTAGAAGTAGTAGTAGTAGTAGTAGTATTAGTAGTAGTAGTATTAGTCGTAGTAGTATTAGCAGTAGTAGTATTAGTAGTAGTAGTAGTAATAGTAGTAGAAGTAGTAGTAAAAATAGTAGTATTTGTAGTAGTAGTAGTAGTAGTAGTAATAGTGGTATTTTTATTTTTTTCATCTTCAGTACAAAGTCCATTCTTTGGAATCCTAATTTTGAAGTTATTGCGTATGCGTATGAATGTCTTTGTTGTTGTGTTGGCTGTATATTTGCGGTTGTACGTGTATGTGTTTGTTTGTAAATTTTTTGGTATCACGTGTTTAACGTTTATATGTGTAATCGTATTTGCGGTTGTATGTGTTTGTACATTTTTTTGTCCATTTTTTGTATGTGTATTCCGATACATTTTTTAAAGTTTTACGGGTAATGACTTCAGAAATGAATGTGCAGAGATGTGTTTCTATAGGTATATTGTATTTTCAAAGGTATTTATTACAACATGTATTGTGAGTGTTATGTATGTGTGCATATGTAAACATGCTTGCCTATACGTATTTTTCGGTATCTGCGTATTAGCAATACAATCGCCAATAAAATCTTCAAGTATTTACGTGTTATGCAATTTATCCTTGTAATAAATATTGGTATAGGTTTGTGTTGCTATATGTGTTTTTATATATGCGTGTATGTGTCCGTGTGTGTTGTCCGTGTGTGTGCGTGCGTGTGTGTGTGTGTATTGTAGTGTTGGGTATTATTAGAGTGATTGAGTGAAATGTCAACCACCTTTGGATGAGTTAATTGTAAACATGTTGCGTTGGAGTTTTAAGTAGAGTGTTTCTTAATTTTATTTAAATAATAATAAACCCATTTTAATTTATTAAAATGGTTATTAGCATCATTTGATCATCATTAATTACGTCATCGTAAAGACACCATCGCCATTTTAGACTATATTATATGGAAACTGGATAGAATGGTCCTATCATCTATATCATAAGATTTATATATAATAATGATAATGAAAACGATAAATAATAATAATAATTATAATAATAATATAAAAAACATAAATAATAATCAGCAAGCTCATGATCTCGAAAATAATTTACAGCTCTTGATATACACAGCTACTCCAAGATGGTTCGTACGAGAGTTTCCATTAAACTCAAGTTCTCTTATTATTATTATTTTTATTATTCTCATTATTATTATCATCTGTGTGTATACACACACACACACAGACACAGACACACACAGACACACACTTGATTCAATTTATCAACACAATGATTGCATTGATGTCAAACAACAGCATTTGATACGCCGTTCTTCAATGACGATATGTAAATTAAGATCACTAATTTTTCAACACTTCTCACATATGCACACGCACATACTGACACACACACACATGCACACACACGCACATACTGACACACGCACACATACACATATTGACACACACACACACCCATTGACACAATATACAAGTAGCATATGAAGTACTATTAAGCTGGAGTTCTGATCAAATCTTATCCATTCTGTCGATTCTATTCACTCTATTGTACTTATCACTAATTATACGCAACGAAGAAAGATTAATTAACCAATTGCGTGTGTTTGTATGTGTGTGTGTGTGTTTGTACGTGTATGTATGTTTGTGTGTGTGTGTGTTTGTACGTGTATGTATGTTTGTGTTTGTACGTGTAGTACGTTTTGTAGTATTGTACGCTTATACCATTAGCATTTATTACATTGATTTATAATGTTATGATTAGCTGGAAATAATTAAATAGAATATTTAATTAATGCAATATTGCATTATTCTAAATGGTGATCCAATAATTATAATTTATAATATGATTTACATTATTTATTTATTTAGTATAATTAAAATAATTATTTACTATTATTACCAGGTACACCAGTACATGATCAGCCTCCCTGAGAACAAAATACCATACGCGGGAGGTATCGGCGAGAAATACCGCATCAAGCAGCTGCTGCACCAGCTTCCGCCACACGACAGCGAGACAAGTTACTGCAACGACTTGAGCGAGGCGGAGAAGAAAGAGTTGAAGTTGTTTACCAGTAGAAGGAGGAAGGAGGCCCTCGGCAAAGGTGTCGTGGTTGTCGTCGGGCTGGAAAATGATGGTACCAAGTGCCAACAAGTTGGTCTCCTTTCGTTTTATTTGGAAGATTTGAGTTTTGAATGAGGAGGATAAAATTGGATTTTTTAAATTTTTCAGTATTATTTTCCAAGTTTCAATATTTTCATTCTTATAATTCCTCTCGACTGAATAGAAATTTATTAGACAACGCTCATAAAAACATTTCGCCATTGCATTATCTCTAATATTTTTAACTTATTCTAGTGAAAAATGCAAACGCAAATGGAATTTATTTCATGAGACCGATTAAATTATTCTATCCACTCCTTGCCGTACAGTGCCATGTATCATTTTCATCGGACCAGCTGGCGGTAGGTGCTTCGAGGGCGGGCAGTGGCTCCTTGTGGCACCCCGTCTGTTTCACCTGCTGCGTGTGCAAGGAACTACTCGTCGATCTGATTTATTTCTACAAAGATGGGAAAGTATATTGCGGTCGTCATCACGCTGAGACGTTGAAACCGAGATGTGTGGCCTGTGATGAGGTCTGTTGGTTTACTAAATGATTGGTTGAATGAATGATTGATTGGTTGGCTGGTTGAATGATTGGTTGAGGCTGGTTGATTGATTGATTGACTGGTGCCGGTTTATTAGGTAGTTAGTCGGTTGATGAATTGAATTCAACAATAGGGATGAAATGCTTACCAAGAAGTTGCTAGATTAATTAAACGTTTGGCCTTCTTTTTTTTTATTGTTTTTTTACTTGTCCCGAGCGGATGTATGTTGAAACGTTCACATTAAAATGACACTCTGTTGACTTTTTTTTAATTTTTTTTTCAGATAAAAAATAAAGATGCTTTTACAATTTTTTTTTCATAATATTTTTTATCTTAACACTAAATTTGTTTAATTTGATTATGTAAATGTCTAAACTTGTAAATTTATATAACAAGACAGAATAAATCCAATTAAATTCTTAACATTCGTCAAACACAAACAACAAAACTATCTCTTAAATTATTGTAAACTGACCGTAAATTTGAAACTTCGACAACTACACCTACAGATAATCTTTGCAGACGAGTGCACAGAGGCGGAAGGTAGAAGCTGGCACGTCAAACACTTCACATGCTTCGACTGTGACAAGCTACTTGGAGGACAGCGCTACATAATGAAGGATTCCCACCCATATTGCTGTTCATGTTTCGGTGAAATATTTACAAGACCATGCACCAGTTGCCACCTGACTATCGCCCCAGAGGAACAACAAGTCGTGCTGAATGGATTTTTCTGGCATGCGACTGACGCCTGCTTCTCTTGCTACTCATGTGGATGTTGTTTGTTGAAGAAAGAGTTCATATCTCAGCAGGGGCAGTTGTTTTGTTCGTCCGCTTGTTGTGAAGAAGGAGGAGGTGCCAGGCTGGGTAACTCTGACGATCGAACGATACAGATCTACGATAAATTGATTTTTCAATCCCAACAACAACAGCAACAACAACAACAGCAACAACAGCAGAAAACATTTCACCAACACGAACATCAACAGTTTTATCAGTCGATACATCCACAGGTACAACAACAGCAGCAGCAGCAACAGACACAAAATCACTACCACACTCTTCTCGAACAGCATCAGCATCACTACCAAAATCCTGACTACTGTTACACGACGAGCAACGACAACGAACTCTATCGACAGTTTCGCAACAGCACGTCCAACAGCGATTCCTACCAACCGACGGCACCAACTTCACCGACGTCACCGACGATGACGCTGCAACTTCTCGTGCCTTCCACCAGCAAATGCGACAGCGACCAAGTATCTGGCTCCTCGTATGACGTCGGATACGGAAGTAGTGTCATCGCCACTCACGATTTATCGATCGGTTACGACAGCGATGTCGACAATCACATAAACCGCATTGATACTAATGCAGAAAATCACAACAACAACGTAAACTGCAACGACAACAACAGCAACAGCAGCCGCAATCGTTTGAACGATTCCAACGTCTACTCGTCTTCATCTTTGTATGACGTCATAGAGGAAAAAGATTCTTGCTGCAGCGAGGACAAAAATGGCTGCGGTGGCTACTATGGAAGTTGTGGCAGTGCCGGAAGTCGTGGTGGTAGATGTAGTCAAGGAGGTAGCAAGAATAGTTCCCGGGTATCTTCTCCGGGTCATGCAATCTGTCCTACTGACTACATGCTGAAGAACAAAAACACAAAGCTCATGGCTTCCCAGCTAACATCAAAACAACTTCAGCAACATCAATCTCAATATAATCAGAAATCTTCTCAGGAAATTGACATCCACTCAAACGCAAGTTCAACCAAATCAAACAGCATGAAAGCACATCTCAACTCAAAATATAACATGAAGGACAATCGGTTGAGCACTTCGGTGCAGATCGTGAAAGCAGACATTGAAATAATTCCTCGACATTTACAAGATGATTTCAACGGCGTTGAGAATACTATTAAGCAACAAAATATCTGGGAAGTAAGGGAAAATTCTTTCGACCAGCAACATTATGCTAATCTTCAACCGCAGCAGCAGCAGCAGAACATATCAAGAATATCTTCCTTACCAGATTTGCCTACAGATTCAGAACTGGAAACATCATTTACAAACGAAAGTCAACAATCGTGTCATCCGCAGCAACACCAGCAACAACTTCAGCAACAAGAACAACATTCAACAAAAGCTCCACAGAGACTATCAAAGAATTTTGAGATCCATCCGTTTTTGTCCCCGCCAACTAAATCAACGAAACAACATTCGCAGCTACAACACCAAATGCAGCAACAGTTGAGCAACATTTCCTTGCAACCAACTCAGCCACAATTCTTGCAGAAAGAAACAGTTGATGACGAGAACTATGTGGGCTTCACTCTGACCAACACTCAAAACAGTCACTTTGTACCGAAAAACCAACAACGCTTCTGGACGAGACAGAACAGTTTAGACAACACGTTAGCAACAACGATCACGACAGCCAACGCAATCAACAACAACAAAAACAATACAACAGCAAATTTGCAGCAGCTCAAACACTTACAGCAACAAAAAATTAAATCACCGACAGTCGTTTCATTCGCACCTGACGTCAAAAACATGCCGTCATCAAGTGAGGAGGATGAAGACGACGCAAACGCAACAACGACAACGACGCCTGCCCACCACTACAGCCACCATCGACGCCACAGCCACCATCGAAACCAGCCACATCAACATCAGCAGCAGCCGCAGCAACTACGCCATCTCCGAAACCATCACTCGTGGATGGACAACGAGATAGGAACGGTCGAGAAAATGATCAACATCATCCATGAATACGACGACAGCGGTCGCAATAACAGCAACTGCAACAGCAGCAGCCACGTTCATGGCGACGACGACGACCACGATTGTTGCAGCTCATGTTCTAGTTCAAGTGATTCGGACTTTGATTACTTCCTGGACAGGGCAGTCCTTAGTGCAAACAACGAACAGCAGAACCAGGTGAACAGCAGACGCAAACAGAGGCACACAAACAAGCACTGCATCATCTCTTGATTACAAATTTTTAACGGCTATAATGAACCTTATAAATAACGATTTACAAAACAAACAACCAAACCAACAACCAGAAGAATAATAGAAGTTAGAATACAATTATGAATAATAAATGCACACAAACGACTCATGCATAAGATATGAGACTGACTGACTGAACGAGAGTTAAAATAAAAACCGCATTTGACGTTAATTTATTCGAAAAAAATAATTGTACACACAGACACACACACACACACACACACACACACACACACACACACACACACACACACACACACACACACACACACACACTTGCAAATATATAGTCATACTTCCATTGTGTCTATGCAAGCGTAAAGAGCAATAAAACACTTGCAAGGAACAGACAGACATCTTTGTAAATGTTAATTTATTTTATCTATAGTTCAAAGTTTCTAATTGTTTTTACGGTTTACTACAAAAAAGTTAAAAAGAACGAGAAAGAGAGAGAGAGAGAGACAGACAGTGAAAAAGACAAAGAAATTTTTTAATCCTTTAAAAATAGCAATAATTAGACTTTTGACTGGAGAAGATAGTGTATTTTCATTCAAATAGGTGTGCGTAGATGTGTTTGTTTGAACGTTGCACGTTTGCACGTCTGTGTATGCGTGTAGGTATGTGTGCTTGTCTGTGTGGTATAAATTATTTTTACTCATATTTGAAATTTTACGATTAATTGCAGTTATTTGTATATAGGCTTGTGTGTGCGTATATATATACAAATGTATGTGTATGTATAAGATGGTGTACGTATGTATGTATGTGTGTGTGTGTGTGTGTGTGTGTGTGTGTGTGTGTGTGTGTGTGTGTGAATGAATGTATGTATGTATCTGTATGTATTTATGTATTTATACAGATGTTTGCCTGTTTGTTCATATTTTGGTTTTTCTTTCTTCTTTACAAACTTAGTTTTTTTTTGATGATTTTGCATGAACACACATGCGCACGTCATACAAATACAATACAAATACAAACGTCACACAAATTCACACACACACACGCACCATGTATACTTGTAGAATGTTATTAACATTTTTAAGTGTTGTTATATACACACACACACTCAGGCACATATAAAGTATATATATAATAATTTTTTATTACAATGAATAAAAACGTAAGTGTTTCGTTATTTAAAACCGAAAGTTATTCTATTCATATACTTAGATGTTCATCTCATCGAGAGAAACAAATGATCAACCAGGGATGAAAATTTTATGTAATTTATATAAACATATATAGAGGGTTATAAAAAAACACTCATAACAATAAATAACATTTTAATAGAATGATCATGATAGAGTCCATAGCCCAGAGTCTTCTTCAAGCAAACTAAATATATAAATTTGAAAATATCTCTACAATTTGACCTAATTGAGCAAAACGGTTTTCAAATTTAAAATCATCAGGAAAATCTGTTTACGAAACATTCAATGATATTTAAAATATTTTGTTTTCAATCCAGGTAAAATAACTCAATAAAATAACTTTTTAATTTTGTCATGATACGCCCCAACCCACCCCAACCTCAGATTTGGACTGAACGAACGACCCTATGGCATCAATCAAACTTAGTCTTAAAAATTTAAGTTTCAACAATAATCTATTTGATATTTATATTCGTCATAAAAGTCTGTTCACGAAACATTCAATGATATTTAAAATATCTTGTTTTCAATCCAGGTAAAATCACATTTTAACTCAATAAAATAAATTTTTAATTTTGTCTTGATACGCCCCAACCCACCCCAACCTCATATATTGTATTAATGGGATAACGTTGTAGCAACTTATCAACCTCCATCTTAAAACCGTCCGTACCAACCATATCCACAAGATCGGTCTGCGAAGCCGACAACTGGTGAAGAACCTCGTCACTACATGTAACCTCATTATCACAAATTTTTCATTTATCAGAGCTACGTCCCAACCCAACCCACCCAAACTTCAACTTTTGGTTAAAATAACAAACATATATAATCGCCCATATCTTTGACATTAGCGTAATAATGAGATAACATGATAATGAGATAACGAATGATGTAGCAACTTGTCAACCTTTACCTTCAAATCCATCCGTCCCAAGTTTACCCACTTCGATTGGTCTAAATATAGCCAACATTTGGTGAAGAACCTCGTCACTACATAAAATCTCATTAGCACAAACTTTTCATTTATCAGCGCTACGTTCCAACCCACCCTAACTTCAACTTTTGACTGTAATAACGAACATATACAATTGCCCAAATCTTTGGCAATGGCCCCAAAAATATGGTACGCTTGAAACCAACGGCCATATATCGTCAGCCAAGCTTCTAACATTAGCCCTTAAGTTTAAGTTTCAACACTATCTTTTTGATGGCCGAAACTACTAAAACCTCATGGTAATAAAATTCCATGGTGTTCTGATATCGTGTTAATGGGATAACGTTGTAGCAACTTATCAACCTCCACCTTAAAACCGTCCGTACCAACCATATCCACAAGATCGGCCTGTGAAGCCGACAACTGGTGAAGAACCTCGTCACTACATGTAACCTCATTAGCACAAATTTTTCATTTATCAGAGCTACGTCCCAACCCAACCCACCCAAACTTCAACTTCAACGTTATCTGTACCAACATTATTATTATTGTTATTAACCTGATTACCTTTCTTACCTGCACCATCTTCTTCATCTGAGCCGCCGACATCAACATGACCTGTACCAACGTTATTATTATTGCAGAACTTTTGTCGTTATTGTGAAGGTTTCCGCGGTTTTCTATCCTACCTCTTCCTCCGTCGACACGCTTGTCGTCGCCGCTGTCCTCGCTACGGTAGGGTCGGTGTCAGTCATCAGCGTCGTGGCGATTGCACACGCCAACGGCAGCTCGATACCGCATCATCACCTTCGTCACGCGGGCGGTCACTTCCTTTGCCACTGTAATCCTTGTTAAGTTATGTTATTACATTTTTTTTCAATAACACAAATCCTACATTTGCTAATTTGCAAGCAAGATTTGTAGTTTATATATATATATATATATATATATATATATATATATTTGCAAGTGTGATATGTGTGATATTATTATCACGTATCTACATTGCATTATGTTATCGCATTTCCAACATTTGAAAACAAGAGATAAAGATAGGTGTATATATAGGTTCGTTTGCTTGTTTTTATTACGTAATGATGACGTAAAAATAATTAACAACAAGGCGCGTTCTTATTAATTATTATGTTAATCTCAACAACACATTCTAACTCTATCTAGGTAATGAAAGTTTTCTCTTTTTTAATTTAATTGAATATTATTATCCTGTAATAACCTGATTTTTCTTTTACTTTTCTTTAATTATTCGCGATTGCTAATTGATTCTGTTATATATATATATATATATATATATATATATATATATATGTGTGTGTATATATATATATATATATATATATATATATATATATATATATATATATATATATATATAAGTCA